GGCAAGCCCATGAGATGCCACCTTGGTGCTGTGAGGTCCATCCCGTGGGGACAAGGCGCCCCGGGTGCTCCGTCACAGGGAGCGGGGCATTGAGCACCCCCCCTCCATCATTTCTCATCCCTCCGCAGAACGAGTTTCGGCTGGGCGTCCGGTTTTACACGGAGGAGCAGCCGGCCGCCGCCATCCTGCACCTGGAGAAGGCGCTGGAGGAGTATTTTGTGGCGGACGCCGAGTGCCGCGCGCTCTGCGAGGGACCCTACGACTACGAGGGCTACAACTACCTGGAGTACAACGCGGACCTTTTCCAGGCCATCACAGGTGGGAGCTGCGCACGCTGCATCCCATCTCGGGAGTTGGGGACAATCCTGGGGGGTGGTGGTCCCCAAAGAGGTCCCCAAAGACCTGGGGGGTGGTGGGTCCCCATAAGACGCGAAACCTAGGATGGGGTTTGCCTAGGAGGAGTGTGGCCAGTAAGTGGCAGGAGGTGTTTGCCCAAGGTCAGCACTGGGGGTGATGCCCAGGGACCCCCCCAAATTCCAGAGGGATGCGGAGAACCAGGAGAGGGACCAGCAGAGGGTCACTAGGACACAAGGGGGGGGGCTGAGGGTGGTCACTGAGAGCAGCACAGCCCCACCACTGATCACGCAGAGGTGGGCGACCACCATCCTTGGGGGTTTCCACCACCAAAAAGCTGCCAACAGCCCTGCCGCCAGCAGGAGGTTGGAGTGGAGACCCCCAGGGTCCTGCCCCCGCCCCTTGGGCCACCACGTGCAGTGACACGGGGTTTTTCTCCACCAGATCACTACATGCAGGTGCTAAGCTGCAAGCAGGGCTGCGTTACGGAGCTGGCCTCCCAGCCCGGCCGGGAGAAGCCCTTGGAGGATTTCCTGCCCTCGCACTTCAACTACCTGCAGTTTGCCTACTACAACAGTAAGCAGCTCATTGCCCCGTCCTCCGTTGGCCATCGGCGCTGGCTGTCGTGCTCTGCACGGGCCGTTCTTCATGGGCAGAACTCACAGACTCACAGAATGGTTTGGGCTGGGAAGGGACCTTCAAAAACCATCTAGTCCAACCCAAGATGCAGGGACATCTTGCACGAGATCAGGTTGCTCAAAGCCCCATCCAACCTGACCTTGAACTCCTCCAGTGATGAGGCATCTACGTCTTCTCTGGGCAACCTGTTCCAGCGTCTCACCACCCTCATCATAAAAAAGTTCCGCCTTGTGGCCAACCTAAACCTACCCTCTTTCAGTTTAAAACTGTTGCCCCTTGTCCTGTCACTCCAAGCTGTCTCCATCTTTCTTGTAAGCCCCCTTTACATATGGAAAGGCTACAAGAAGGTCTCCCCGCAGCCTTCTCGTCTCCAGGCTCAACAACCCCAACTCTCTCAGCCTGTCCTCGTAGCAGAGGTGTCACCGCCCTTGGGCAGAGGTGTTCCAGCCCTTGGATCATTTTTGTGGCCTCCTCTGGACCTGTTCCAACAGCTCCATGTCCTTCCCGTGCTGAGGACCCCGGAGCTGGACTCAGGGCTCCAGGGGGGTCTCCCCAGAGCGGAGCAGAGGGGCAGGATCCCCCCCCTCGCCCCGCTGCCCACGCTGCGGGGGATGCCGCCCAGGATGCGGTTGGCTTGCTGGGCTGCAAGCCCACGTTGCCGGCTCACGTCCAATGTTTTGTCCATCAGTATCTGCAAGTCCTTCTCCGCAGGGCTGCTCTAAACCCATCCATTCCCCAGTCTTTACTGATACTGGTGCAGGACCTTCCGCTTGACCTTGCTGATCTTCATGAGCTTCACGCAGCGCCGCTCCTCCGGCCTGAAATGTGCCACGGGAGAGCTGGGTCTTGCTGCGCCTGGTTGCAAGCACCCTCCACGTCACTTTGGATGCTCGATTCCCAGGCAGCTTCGCTTTCCAAGTGAAATAACAGCCTGGAGAAGCACTTGGTTTTTTCTCCTGCCAGCTCTCCACCTCTGGCTCCAGACCCCAGAGGCACCCTCCCCCTCCAGAACAGTTAGTTATAACCCAGGCAAATATACCCAATTTTATTTTATTTTTTTCTTCACCTCCTTAGAAAAATCTAAACTGTTTCTGTGCAAATTTCTCCAAAAGGAGGAAAAAAAAACCCAATGACGTCCAAGAAGATTGAAAGGCTGCAATCCTGTGCATGAAAGTGGGTCAGGGTGCTTAAGTGGCTGAAAATTGCAGGTTAGCCTGGAAATGGTTGGGTCTTGCTGCCTGGAAATAGGCTTCAAGATGTTTTCCAAGTGAGAAAACTACCCAAGCAGTGGCCCTGCTTTCTGGTGAGATGATTTCTGGAGGCAGGAGAGCGCCTCGGACTCTGAATTTTGCCTTTGTGGCAGCGGTTGTCTTTGCGCCGGGGTATCTGCCCTGCTTGGGAGACCCTTTGGAGAACAACGAGAGCTTTCTCTCTTGTTTCTCCTCCATATCCGTGCTTGCTCTGTCTCTGATGCTCTTGGACGTGCCGTAACAGCCCCGTTTCTCTTTGCAGATGGGAATTATGAAAAAGCCATTGAATGCGCCAAAACCTATTTGCTCTTCTTCCCCAACGATGAGGTGATGAACCAGAATTTGGCCTATTACACCGCCGTCCTGGGGGAAAACCTGGCAGGACCCATCCAGCCCCGAGAGGTGAGTGACCGGCCGGAATGAGCCGTTGCAGGAACATCTCCTCCCCTCCTTGGGGACCTTTGCAGAGGTTTTGGGGTCTGCTCTGGATGGATCTGCTCTGGTCCAGCCCCCCTTCCGTGGCAAGGTGGAGAGGAATGGATGGATGCAAGACCCAACAAGCTGGAAAATAGCTGAGGGACTGAAAAACGGCACTGAAAATATCTTTGGCCAAGCGAAGGCTTGATGGCTTGCACCAATGGACCAGCTCTTGTGGGAGAGGTCTGCGAGAGGCAGATGGACAGACTTTATAGGAGGATCTGAGCCCACCTCTGCTACAGAATTCCACAACCGAAATGAAATTGCTTAAAAAGGAGAAGATTTGTCTTCAAAATAGCTGTATCTGGATGCTCGGGTGCTGCCTGGGAGGTGGTAGGCCGGGATGGAGGTCTCTGCCCCATCTCAGGTGGAGCAGGGAAGGGAATCTGCTTGTAAGGAGCTTCCTGAAGGAGAGACGTGCCTGTGCCTCCGTCTCCCCCATCCTCTTCCCAGGGCTCATCCACATGGGACAGGGAAGTTCATGCAGGATGGGGAAAGCTACTTGCTTCCCAGCTGCCAGAGGGACTGGGAAACGGGGGCTGCGGGTCTGGAGCAAGGACCACGGGAATGATGTAAACCCAGCACCCTCCTGCCCTTGCTCGGGGTCTTCCCAGAGCCCTCGTGCCATGCCCTCACCCCATCCCTCTGCCCCTTGCCACAGGAGATCCAGGCATACCGCCAGCGAAGCCTGATGGAGAAGGAGCTGCTCTTCTTTAGCTACGATGTCTTCGGCATCCCCTTCGTGGACCCGGTGAGTGATGCTGGACCAGGCTGGACGCAGTGGCCAGATGGGAAGGGGATGAGGGGTCTGCGTCCCAGCCAGATCCTCGTCCAGCTCCTGATGTTGTTGTTCTTCTGGCTGCAGGACACTTGGACTCCCGAAGAGGTGATACCAAAAAGGCTGCGAGAGAAACAAAAGTGAGTGCTCTCCCAAGCTGATGGCCAAGCCTACCCAACGGGGGGACCGACAGGACGTACCCCTCTTCTTCCGCGGGGTTTGGGCCAAAGGCATGGCCATGGAGCTGCTGCCAGGGAGGTTTTTTGGTGTTGGGGCTGGAAGAGGCTGCTGGAGGGCAGAACTTTGCTCCCCATTGGCCCTTGGGGTGAGGGGGATGGGTAGGTCATCCCGAGCAGCTCAGGGTGAGGGATGCATTGAGATGACTCTCTCCAGCCTTGGGCTTTGTCACTGGCCCCTGGAGACACCTTGTCCTGCCCTTGTCCTGGTGCCCCTTGTTCCTGACACGGGGGTAGTGGGGCAGTGGAGCTGATGGCTGCTGTGTGCCCAGGGTGGAGCGGGAGACGGCGGCACGCATCTCGGAGGAGATCGGTAACCTCATGAAGGAGATCGAGACGCTGGTGGAGGAGAAGGCCAAGGAGTCTGCCGATATGAGCAAGTTCATCCGAGAAGGTGCGGAGGGCCGGGAGAGGAGGTGGGATGGGGACCTCCGTGTCCCCTGCTGCCAGTTCGTGGTCCCTCCACATGGGTGGTGGCAGGACCACAGCTTCCCCCAGCACTGCCCCCAGGGTTGGTGGCACCCATCCCTGTGTCCTCCCGATCCCATTTGCACCACAGGTGGCCCCTTGGTGTATGAAGGAGCCAGTGTCACCATGAACTCCAAGACACTGAACGGCTCCCAGCGCGTTGTGGTGGACGGGGTCCTTTCCGCCGAGGAGTGCCGCGAGCTGCAGAGACTCACCAACGTGAGCGCGGGGACGGGAGGAGCGGGCAGGGATGGGGCTGAAGGGTCCCCTCCTGTGGCTCAGAAGTCAGACCAGTAATGCCAGTTGGGTTTTGCAGGCAGCTGCCTCAGCCGGGGATGGCTATCGTGGGAAGACATCTCCTCACACCCCCAGCGAGACCTTCTACGGCGTGACTGTCCTCAAGGCCCTGAAGGTTAGGGTGGCGGCGGGGAGGGGGGAGAAAGAGGCTGTGGAGACCAGGGAGGGGGGGTTTGAATGCAGGCAGCTGCCCACGCTTGCCCAACCTGCCTGGGGCTGAGCCTGTGTCCTGTCCGTCCCCCGCAGCTGGGCCAGGAGGGCAAGGTGCCCCTGCAGAGCGCCTACCTCTACTACAATGTGACGGAGAAGGTGCGGCACATGATGGAGTCCTACTTCCGCCTGGAGGTCCCGCTCCACTTCTCCTACTCCCACCTGGTGTGCCGCACAGCCATCGATGGTGAGCATCGGAGGAGCACAACCTGAGGAGAAGCAAGTCTCCTTCAGCCCCTTGGCCTCTCTGGGTCCCCTCCAACAGCTGGGGTGGTCTGGTCATGGACCTTTCCTTGGAGACCACCTTGCTGCTCCCTAACCTGCTCCTTTTCCCAAAAGGAAGGTGTGGGGAGCTTGTCCCTAAGCCCGATTTGGGAAGATGAGCAGCTCTGTTGGTTGCCTCCAGCGGGGCGGGTGGCTTCATGCCATACAGGATTTCAGCACTCGGAGGTATTTGGGATCGGGTGCTGGGAGAGACTGTGTGTGGAGGGCCATGGAGACACCACGGGATAAGTCAATGGAGGCTTGTGCCACCCGAACGGCCTCTCGTGGTCCATGCTCCAGCGAGTGGAAAGGCTTTAGACTACAGGTGACTTTCTTGTCACCTCCAAGCATGTGGCACTTGGGGACAGACCCCAGTCCTGCAGGGGCAAAGGGGTCCTGACGTGCCAGGTCTTGTTCCACCCTAGAGAAGCAAGAAGGCCGGAGTGACAACAGCCACGAGGTGCACGTGGACAACTGCATCCTCAATGCGGAGGCCCTGGTGTGCGTGAAGGAACCTCCAGCCTACACCTTCCGGGATTACAGGTACCAGTGGTGTCCATCGGCCAGAGCTTCCCCACCGGAGGGCACCATGGCTTGGTGGGAGGGCAACCCAACCTGGGCTCTCCTGCCTCTGGTTCCTGCCATGATGTTGGGGAGGGCTCCTGGTCACTGGAGCTGTGGCCTGGGGTGATGGTCACCCCCCTCTGCTTGTCCCCTGCTTCCTTTAGTGCCATCCTCTACCTCAACGGGGACTTTGAAGGAGGAGCTTTCTACTTCACCGAGCTGGATGCCAAGACCGAGACCGTAAGTAGCTCGGCTCCTTGAGGATCCACGTGCAGCACCAAACCCAGCTCCTGCCTGCTCCCCCATCCCCTGTGCCACCGCAAGGGATGCACTTGGGTTGGGGGGGACCAACTCTCCTCCTCACCCACTGGCCGCATCCTGACTGGGGCCCCCCCTCCATTGCAGGCGGAGGTTCAGCCGCAGTGTGGCCGCGCCGTGGGCTTCTCCTCCGGCTCGGAGAACCCCCACGGGGTGAAAGCCGTGACCAAGGGCCAACGCTGCGCCATCGCTCTCTGGTTCACCCTGGACCCTCGGCACAGCGAGCGGGTAAGCTCCCTCCCCGGCAGCGGCTGGGTTTTTTTGGGGGGACGATGGCCGTGCTTATCCCCGTGGGTCTGCCCCACAGGAGCGCGTGCAGGCGGACGACCTGGTGAAGATGCTTTTCGGCACGGAAGAGGGGGATTTGCTGCGGGAGACGGAGCTGGAGCAGGAACCGCCGGCTGCCGTCACGGTGGGGAAGGACGAGCTGTGAAATCCCATGGGGACCAGGACGTCCCCGCCGGGACCAGCGACACCAGCATTGCAGCTTCAGGCTGCTCAGCCGTGGGGCTGCCGACGGGACCCCCCTCTGCCCCCAGCCCACGCGGGATGGGGAATTGGGGGATGCCCCGCACCATGCCTGCGGCATCCAGCCCCCCCTGCGGAGCTGACCTGGGGGTATCACGGAGACTCTGGGGGGCGGGGGGGTGACATGAGGGACAAGGGAGGGATGCTCTTTTGGGGGTGAGGACCCGGTGCCACGGTAGCAGCCATGTGCCTTGCCGCTCGGCTGAACCTGTGGCTATTTAAGTGCCTTCTGCAGGAAATGGGTAAATAAAGGTGGTTTTTTTTCTAAGCTGCCGCTTCCTCAGCCGGGGCTGGAGGCTGCTGTCCTGTCCCCCTCCCTCCTTGGCTGTCACTCGGTATTGGCACGCATCCTTCCCTCCTTGCAAACATTTACCCAAGGGTTTTGCAGCCATGCAACCCCAGGAAGGTGTTTTTTGGGGACAAGGGGGACTTTCTGAGGAGGCAGCAGGGCCCATGGGTGCTGGGACCCCCCTCCATTAGCCCCGCAGCATTCCCTGGACCCGGCTCCTGCAGCGTGGGAAGGGACCCACGATTTCAGGGAGGAGGGAACCGTCCTTGAACAAGAAGGACATTGAGCACCGGGGCACCCCCCAACAGGGCATCAAATTGTTCCCGTGGGTGTCTGGCCCCGGCCATTACCATAACCATCTGGGGAATGTGAGTAAATAAATCCTGCCCCACGCCGCCGGAGCTGGGCACCCCCATAATATTTAGAGAGGGCGTAGGGCAGGTCCTGCTCAGCATCGGGGTGGCAGAGGGGGGTCCTGGGGGACGGTTTCTCCAGGATGACTGGACGGTCCTGCTGGTGGTTGCCCACCATCCCGGTGTCCGACCCCGGCCGCCCGAGCGCGTGAACAGACTGCTAATGAGGCTGGGGCGGCCCCGGGGGGGGGGCCCCTCCCCCCCCCCCCCCCCGTGCCCCCCTCGGGGGGGGGGGACGCCGCCATCAATGGCGGCTCTTGTTGGCGCGGCGGTGGCATGCCCGCCTTGCCCCCACGGAGAGGCGAGGGTCAGGCCTGGCGGCGTGGGGGGCACGACCCCCTTCCCTGCTTCCCTGCCGCGTTCCCGGAGCCACCCCCGGGGCCTCTGCGGCTGGAGGGGGGTCCTGGCCCCTGGCAGGAGCGCGGGGGGCCATGGGTGGGCTGGGGGCTCACCCCCCCCAGCCCCCCCTCCCTTGGG